ATGCCACAGCAAGTGTTTCCTTCTCATGTATAAGATTTTGAATTAATTCTACTTCGATATATCTAAACGTCGAGTTGTATGCCACAGCAAGTGCTTCCTTCTCATGTATAAGATTTTGAATTAATTCTACTTCAAATGTCTGCTATTGGTACCCATGGGAATTTCAACAGATTGTTGGAAGACCTGGTCTCCAAAAACTTCATAAATATTGTCAATCAGACACTCAATCATCTTTTTAATGTCAACTTCAGAGTACTTGTGTGTACAATCTGAATGTTTTATTTTTAAAAAATGATGTTACAAATGACCAAAGACAAGGGAATTGAATTTACGAGTTTCATTTTTATTGAAAAAGCAGCTTTCAATTTTAAAGTTCCTTAAGCTTGGAATTTTTAAATATCCAAATCTGATTTCCCTAACAAAAAAAAACAAAACATTATAGTTACATGTAACTATAGTTAACTACAGTATCAAAGTTTTTTCACTATAGTAAATCAAAGTATTTTTATTAAGGATTTCAGATTGTTATATTTTTTTGTTCTTCGATTCATACATGCATATTTTTACAATAAATGGAAGTATTATTTGCATACTCACATTCTTCCACATTTTACATAACTGTTATGAAATTTAAGAGATTTTAAGCTTTTAAATCGAAAAAAGTTCCAAAGTAAATTTCATAGTAAATCAAAGTATCAAAGTTTTTATTATATTATTTTTAGTAATCTATAGTTAACTATAGTAAATTTTTGTTACAGTTACACCACTTCTCGAATATATTGTTGTACAGTACTCCTGAAGTTTCTCTTTCACTGTTGTTAATATTTTATTGAGCTGTAAAGGAAAAGGCTTGATAGAACATTTACTGGAACCCTCTATGTATCTTTGCAAGTATTTTATGACGTTTAGGAATCCAGCATAGGTATGGTAATTCAAATTCATTTTTTTTCGATACGCAAGAAAATGCTCTACATTTGAAGAATTTCTAAAACAAAGCAAACTATTCACAAATTAGTTGATGAAACAAGAATATCAACAGCCTGGTTTGAAGTCATCATTTCCGAAGTTTTAATGTCAATAAAATGAACTTGTCAACAAATACAATCTATCATTAAATCAAATGCTGACTGACCTTTTCATACTTATTGTTATGCCATTATTTACAAGCTGAATTGCCTTCGGATTTTTCCGTTTTCCCAATCACGACAAGGAGAACACGGCGGATGTGACTGGTCGGCAGGGGATGCTCACTCCTCCATGGCGCCTGATCCCACCTTTAATGTTTTTGGAGGTCCGTGTTTGCTCTGCTCTCGATTTGTATTGTATGCCTATTTACGAGTCAAGTTCAGCTTTAACAATGCATACATTGTAGCACTCTGAAAATATATTTAAAAAATTCCTGTCCCACTCGTGAAATAAATTCCTTATCCAAAACACTGAATATCCCTTATTTATTACACATTGAAGGCAGAAATATTGTAATTGATCCATTGAATAAAACTGATAATTTCACACTCCTTACTTTCACAGCGAAAACAACAAAAATGTTATTTTTACTGTGAAAAAAATTTGAAGCATTACTCTCCTTCACTTCATGAAGAGTATTAATAAAGAGTATTTTTTAAACTCCAAGAAATATGTATGTATTTATTTATTTATTTATAAATTTATTCATTTACCGTATAACGGGGATTTTCTGCGGTTGGAAATTTTTGCGATTTAACCCCTAAAAGATAGCAAATTAATTTCTGCGTTTTCAATTTCTGCGGTTGCATTATACCGCAAAAAAATATATACTGGGTATGATCACCAAACTCTGAGAATTATCAGATAACTGCCATGTTTACGTTTTATAAATTTATTGAGACATACTGATCAAAGGTGCATGAGAACTGGTATTAAGCTATTTAGCTTAATTAAACTACTATCTTTTAGTTAGTCTTTGTACAATTATGTCGAGTCCCGATTGAAATGAATTATTAAAATATTAGTCCACCCAAACAACAATAAAAATCTTTATTCTACATTGTAACAAACGTTTTATGCGATCTATTAAAATATTTAAATATATAGATAATTAATGCATGCAAGCCATATTCTAAAAATACACTTATAGTTAATTGCCATCAAAATTAACCTGGTGTTTATATTTTAAGCTCAAACAAACAGTTGCATAATCAAATAACCTAAAGTTGACCGTATACAATCACAGGTGCCATGTGCAATGAAGCGTAACTAATCCTGTCAGTCGTCTGCATTGAGTGAAATTTACGAGACAATCAAGCCACATTGTGTATACAAGCAGTAATTATGGTCTCAAGATAAAACACAAGATTGAAAAAAAGTGTTAAAGAAAGAAAGAAAAGCTAATATGTGTTGTTTGCAGGTATCGGAGTTTGGACGAATAATTGCGAAATCTCTTTTAGTCATTTACATGTAGGCCTACATGCATATCCGTATAAAATAAAGAAATAGGTACAAGAAAAGATCTTTTGTATAAAATAATTAAATTGATATTATTTACAGGAACGTTTTGATTCAATATGTTTTGGACAAATCCTGACATCTAAAATCTTCGACTTTCGATGACACCCGAATATTCTCGCTAACGAGGACGTGTCCACTCATGAGTCTGCGGACGCATTGTTTCTAAGAACCTTGCGTCCCAAATAATTTTGCTGCGTCCAGTACGCAGCTTCTTGCGTTAATGAGAATCCTGTGACATACGCACAACTTATCATACTTGCATGTATAAAATATATATCTGAAGAAATTTTGAAAAATATTTTGCGATTGTAATTTTTGCGGATTTGTCCTGTCCGCAAAATTCCGCAAAAATTGGACAATCGCAGAAAATACCCGTTATACGGTATTTTATGAGAAAGATCTTAAGAGGACAGCAAATAAATTCAGAACAATCATAATAAATTTTATTAGATTCTTTTATGAAAAATTCTGAAGGGGAGTAAAGCAAACACAATGAATCATTAGAAATTATTGCATTATACTACAGTGTATAATGTAGCATAATATTTTAGATAAATTAAACATTAGACCTTAAAACTTAAGATCAGGGCTTGTCACATAGTTATTGTTTTAGATTCAAAAGATTTATTAAAGGGACTGGGACACAGATTTGAAGTTAATATTTTTCAAAATTTTTAGTATAATATCATGACTTATATGTTGCTAGAGCATTTCACACCGAAATATAATAAAAGCTTGCCTAAAATCTTCTTTTATCTGGAAATTATTAAAACTACAAATTTCGGGACGCGTTTGATTGACACATATCCTTGCACTATCACGAAGTAAACTTTATCCTTAATATATTCCAAAAAAGTAAAACTTCTGTTATGTATTAATGAAAAATATTTTAAAAATATAATCCAGAAAATTCATGGAATTCCGAGGAAATGTGAAAAGGCAAAACCAACTCACCAGTATTGTCAGTCCGTGTTCATTGATGTGTGCAGAGTTAACAAATTGAACACGCCCGATAAATCGTAAACAATAACAAGTTAAATTGATGCAAAAAATCAAATCGGCCACAAATATATTAAGCATTTTGAGGTATTTCCACAAGAAAAGAGTTCAAAGAAAAAATTCAAAGTAGAAAAAGTATACATGATATATTTTACACTTGCTTTACTTTTCCGTGTATTTTTTAATGTTTTTTCTTTCAGTGTGCAATTGTTAAATATTAATCAAAATAAATAAATTCATGGATATGAAAAGCAGAATTGCGAAAACAGATGATAAAGTATAGGAATGTATAAATATTATCAAATTATTTGATTCAAAGACAAATGCAACAAATATCTAAATTCTGATAAAAAAGGACGTACAAACTTCACGTGCTGATACCCTTGATTTTTGTCACATGATAACGCTGATCAGTGTTGTGATAGATTTGTATCAATATAAATGTGAAGTGCAGAAAAAATTTCATTGTGTCATTTGCAAATGCAGTGTATTCAAAACAAAATTCAGTCTTTTAAAACTTTTTACAATTTATTCATTATTTTAGGCATTGTAATTCATATCCGGAAACTCAATATGTTTATTTTCATATCTTACACACGCCCATGTTGAGGAGCAGTTCATGAAACAACTTTTTAAGAAATCATAAATTTATAAATATCTGATAAGAAATGAAAAAAAAAAAATGAAACGTTATAATAATTCTTTGGACTAATTGTTAAGGAAATTTTTAAAACTTTTATTCATAATTTTTTATGCAAGGCATCAATAAGGAATTTTTCCAAATAAGCAATGCAAAAAATAATGTCTCATCTCCCCATGTGTACATTCTAACACAACCACAAAATAGATCGGCGCTGCTTAGGCCGATACTAACAAAGCTCATGTCCTGTTTACGATGTTTGACGTGATGTAAAGAAAAATGTCGTTGTCATTGAATTTTAAGAATATTAATGTAAGTTCAATTCATTAAGCTGAATTTATATTTAAAAATACATAAAAAATTCAAACGTAAACAATGCAACTGTGTCTAGGTCCCTCTAAAAAATAAATGAGTGGATTTTTTATATGGAGAATTAAAAAAGACGAGAGATTTTAAGTGGAGGTGGTGGGGGTGGAAGGGGGTACAAGCTTGTAAACAATTTCTACGAAATACACTCGATATATGTATTTGTTAATGGATACATTTCAAAGAATCCCAAATAAAAAATGTTCATTATGCTTACTGTTATAAATGTACAAATGTGCATGAAATAACTTCTCTCTCTCTCTCTCTCCAGTCCTTTAGCATCATCGTTGCCCTTTCTATTATTTTCCCTGCAACCTTTAGATGACATTTTCTGAATTTTGTATAACAAGCATTTGATTTCGAAAAATTTGCTAAATGGCATTTTAACAATGAAATATAATTGTATATCAGCGCGGGAGGAAATAAATTGAGCCGGTCGATTTTTTTTTTTAATGCTGCTCTGGTTTATAAAAGAAATTGTAAAGGCAAAAGTTAGAATATTCATTTTGTTTGTTCATTCAAAGAAATATGGAAAAGCTTTCTCTGTGCATCACAGTATTCTTATTATTTAAGGTATGAATATGTTTTTTAACAAGGAAAAAGCGATTTTTTTTAAATGCTTCACACTATTTTTGATTTCGATTTAAGTTTTATATTTAAATATCTGTTTATATTGATTTATTAGGAATAGGCAATGTAAAGTACGTCAAGCTAAAATGGAATAGTAATGCAGGCCCGTAGGAAGCAATTTCAGTTGGGGGGGGGGGGCACAACCATATATTTTCAGTCGGGGGGCACTATCAACTACCAAAAATTCCTTGACAAGCAAAAAAAAAAGTCATCATCATATATATATATATATATATATATATATATATATATATATATATATATATATATATATATATATATATATATATATATATATATATAAAATCTATGCCTTAGCATATGTCTTTAGATAGTGTCTAAATATACCTGCTAAATATCGCACTGATATCCCAAGTCACAGAAAAGTTTTGCCCGAGAATGACGCTAAAAATGTTAGGAGTGCATCACCTTTATGTGACTTATGAAAATTCATTATGTTTTGAAGATCTGTGAAAAAATATTACTGGTCTATGTTTAAAATAAAGACTTTCCTGATAATATTCAAAGTACCGAGTTTTAAATGTAGACTTTAGCAACTTTTGTTTGACCAAGTTGTGGTCATGGCTTATGTTGAAAAAAAGGTTATGCCATGTCAAGAGTGCAACAGAAAAAATGTAGTGTTGCCAAGAAAAACATCGATTTTAAAAATCTGTAAGACAATTAAGTCAGAAAAGAATTTCCAAAGTGTAAGACAATATCTGATATACCATTTAAAACTTTTAAATGTTATATAAATCACAAGCAGCATTAATGAGAGTCAAGTATCTGTGCATACCCAATTATGACGGGAGTGCAACATTTGATGTTTTGCTCCCGAGTATGGAAAAACTTTCATCATCAGTATATGATTTTCTGATTTCTATTTTGGAAAATAAAGACAGAAAAACATTTTTACCAAATAAATCTTTCAATTGCATGGTCTGTCTGTGTTTCAAATCTATATTTCTATGATTAGGAGTGAAACAATTTTTTAAAAAAGATTTACGATGTGTTTTTATCGAAATATTTGTTTCTAGGTAAAAAATAAACACACCGAAGAACTAATATAAAAGTCAAGTAATTCCACCTCAACTTCACTGAAACAACAGAACAAGTTCTGATGTAATTTATGCTTCACAATTATATTTGTCAACTTCACTGAAACAACAGAACAAGTTCTGATGTAATTTATGCTTCACAATTCTATTTAAAAGACTCTTGGTCAGGAGTGCAGTAAAAATGTGATAATCATTGTTGATCAAATATGAACAAATATAACGAAAAAATTAGTGAGTAGAATGTTTCTGTTTGACCTCAATTGCTTACAGTATTTGTCCTGTACCGGAAAATATACTATGAAATATATTTTATTTTTTAAATAAAAAACAAAAATAGTTTTTTTGACATAAATAGGGAATAATTCAAAATATAAAGCCAAGTTTAAATACTTCCATGTGTTTTTATTATGAAGTATTTGACTACGAAAATTGCACAATTTCGTTAACATTTGATGATGCCAACACTGTATGAATTTTTGTCTTCTATGCTTTAAGCCGCCGCGGTAGCTCAATCGGTAGAGCGCTCGCTCCGTGATCGGAAGGTCGTCTGTTCGAATCACTGCCGCGACTGACCTAAGTCGATAAAAAATAGGTAGCAACTGTTCCTTCGCCAGGCGCTCGGCACATTGAGGTGATACTTGCTGGTCCTCTGGATGTCACGGTAGACGCTGGTACGATAAAGAACCCTCACTGCTCAATGGCCTCAAGTGCCAAGTAAAGGTCAAAAAATTTATATCCCTTCACAAGTATATGGTGACGTCTCTATAAGAGTGAAAAATTCTCGAACAATATACAATCAATCAATCAATTTATAATTTTAATCTTAAATTTTACTGTAGTCAGGAGTGCAACAAAGCTGTTTTATATTTATTAATGAACTTCATCTATCTTTTCTAAAAAAAAAATAAATTGCAGAAAATGTTTGATACTATTTGATATTCAAATCATTATGTCTATAAACAAATTACAGATATTTTGTTTTAACATTTTACAGTCAATTCAGAGAATAGTTTTCATCACTTTACATATATTTTTAAATACAATGTATACATTACACATTGCAAATAATCATGTTTTGAAGTCTTGAAAATATGAAAAACTTGCCGTAAATGATACAAAATATCAAAACGACGAACTGATTTACAAACTTTGAATGAGTTACTGTGTGTTATAATTTTAAACCAATGTTAAATAAAATACATATCAGATGTCAGGAGTGCAAAACAATAATGTAAACAGGGTCACTTCAAAATCTAGTATATTTGCAAGAAAACTTGCGTATCAAAATTCTTTTTTGGCTAAGATTTAAAGAATTGTCTTAAATGGACAAAAAAGTCATTTTTGGGAAATTTATTGCTTTATATTTCTCTCATATTAAAACATTTCAAACCAGAATTGAAAAATAATGTAAAATAAAAAGCCAATTTCTTTCACATATACAAGAGAAAAAAAAAACTCAGTCAAGGTTTAGATCTAATCATCCATATCTTTGACACCATTTTAAAGCATAAAAAATACTATAATTTCTTTTCATTATGTATTTTAGAAAGTCTTTTAGGAAATAATGATATTTTCTTTTTTCAAATAAATTTTACTTATAAAAATTCTGAAACTTTTTTATGCAATTGTCTATTCTATAGCCACTTTTGGAATTTTAAATAGAATGCATGTATATTTTGGTGATATAAATGAAAAATATGTTATGGTTAGTTGAATTTTGTCATAAAATTTCAATATGTTGGTCATTATTTTTTAATTCACCCATATATATGGCAATCTAGTTTTAATGAAATAAAGCTCCACTGGTAAAAGTGAAGAAATAATTTGGTTGCTTTTGGAGTACATTATCATTAGTTTATCAGAGAAGCAAAACACCAAATTTCACTTTATAAAATTTAATACAGGCAAAACAACTTTAACAAATACACAAATACATGTAATATGATTTTACTTGCTCGTTGGCAGAATCGGCCATGGCCGTATTAGTTAATGAACTGTTAAGAGCTGAACCCTAGGAACAGATGTTCAACTGGTAACCATACAGATGATGACAAAATGTTAATGATTCATAAGCTGAAAGTTTCTGCAAACTGATTATGTTCACTCATAAAATGATACCACAGTTCGTCTGGCGATACTGGTGCGACTGAAAAACTGCGCCACCTGGCTATATGCAAATATAGCCACCGCCACCAGTGACGCCCAAATGCTACTCTTCCATTAGTGGTAGTTTAAAAGGAAAACGAAAATTTGCAATTGCATCAACCCCATGTTTGCGATACCAGGTTAAAGTTGCAACTATTCAAATTTCAGTAATGGGGCACCTGGCTAAAACTTAGCTTCGAGCTTAAACCCGATAACTAACCTAGCTACACAAACTGTGTCACAAATTGCTGAGACAGCACATATTAAATGCAGAACAAATACCTGCAACAAATTAAATTTGCATAAATTGTGCCACAACATATGGCAGAATCAGATGTCTGCAAAATACTTCAGTAACTTAACAGAACCTATAATCTGTAAATAAACATATTTATATAATAAGCTATAGCAGAGGAAACTGTCTGCAACCAAACAAGATATGCTCAACTTGTGCCAAACTACACATTAGAATTGATATTTCAGATCCAAATGACAACTTAATTTATTAACCAATACAATTGCACATTAATAAACAAAATTTGCTCAAATTACATACTCTGACGGAAGCAGCCATGGACCCCATTCTCCAACCGGTGGATGAACAAAGCCTTTAATTGTAACAAAGTAGTAAATAGCTTGCTGAATACGATGTAGAAAAATTTGATTGCCCATTTTTTAAGGTGGATACCATCAGGTAAGAAGAGTGACGAGTCACCATCCGATATCTCAGGATATCTGATGTAATGCCCGTTAATAGATTTCACCAAAGTACCAATCTTATTGTTCACCCGACGCCTAATAAGCTCTAAAGCCTCATGCTTTTTTTCATCCTGCCATACTAATCTGGGCAAAATTTGTGACCAAATAATAACAGTTGTAGGAAACACGTCCTGAATTTTTCTTATTGTCCCTACCATATGATGCCGCAACTCTATTGAAGATCTACATCCTATATCATTACCACCGCAATGAATAATTAAATAATTAGGAGGATCCTCCAATCTTTATAAGAGTTTCAATTTCCCCAGCAATTGATGCTAACGCATACCTCCTTGTCCTTGCCTCCAAACACTTACATTTATCTTCCCTAACCCTAAATTTGCACACTCTTCACTAGATCTTGCCTCAATAAATGCTCTTTTAATGATAGATGATCCTACTATCCAAATCGAACCAGTACCTACATGTACATCATCTACAAATGTATATTGTTAGAGTATTGTCTTAACATATTTACACTTATCTAGTGTAAGAGTATTATTATCTAAACATATATACATTAACTACAAACAATCCAAAGAGAAGACTTTACACTCAGCCCTACACTTCTGGTTGCATCAGCCCTATGAACTACTGGCCAGTTTTGAAGTAAGTACTCTAATATAAGATATAACTAATGCTGATTTCCAACGACCTAACCCCTTGATTTCATCCTCTGAAAGACCAACTAGACATGCTGTTGTTGCTGCTCCAATCCTAAAGGAATGCGCTTTGAAACTACTCACATCTACTTTTGCAGCCTTAAGTCCCATTTTTAAACCCGCATTAAACTGATACCTAGTCACCGGCACACCATCAGCATGCACAAAAATGATCCTTTACATTGTGGTCTTATTCTCATGTAGTGAGAGACCGCTTTAACTGGGCAAAGCCCTTCTTTAACCCTAGGCAACATCATTTAAGTTCCCTTACCCTTCTGATCAGTTTTTGAATGCTTCAACAAAACCTCTATTCCCTTAC